AATGGGGCCACTAGTAAAATATTACGTAAGTTTAAAGAACCCCACATAAATGAGCATAAAGGAATGCTGAAATGAATTTGCAAATAGGAGCAAAAGAGGTTTATCTGCTGGGGAGGTAATCAATTGCATTCCCAGGATATGGCTAATTTGCATTTCTAGGGCTAAAAGTCATTTGCACTATTGTCAGTTTTCAACAATTTATAGAGTTATAAAGTAGCTCAAAGGCAGTAAAAGGCAGATATAGCTTAGAAGAAAACATGAGACATCACACTCAGATTTGCTTATTTATTAGCTTACTTACTTATGTATTTACTTATTTGTGGTGGCCAGTTTTAAAGTCTTTTGCAGTTTACCTACGAGAAAACTCTAGAAAAGGGATGCCTTTTACGATAGTCAAGCTGTTGGATCCTGCCTGCCTGGTTAGCTCGTATCAAAAGCCTTGGTCTAACCACTCAGGCCTTGAAATTCTTTTAGTGGTGAAGATACTGCAGTGATTGTGCTATTAGCTTTAGGGTTTAAAAAAAAAATCATTTTATTAGGGGCTCATACAACTCTTATCACAGTCCATACATACATCAATTGTGTAAAGCACATTTGTGCATTCATTGCCCTCATCATTCTCAAAACATTTGCTCTCCACCTAAGCCCCTGGCATCAGCTCCTCATTTTTTTCCCCTCCTTCCCCGCTCCCCTCTCCCTTGTGAACCCTTGATAATTTATAAATTATTATTTTGTCATATCTTGCACTGTCCAACAAGCTTTAGGGTTTAAAAAGAAGTATGTCAAGTAAGTTGCAAATTAAGCAACCATCTTTTAGTACTCTGATTGCTTATATTCATGTAGATACTTAATAAGAATGCTGTTTTCTTTTTCGCTCTTAATTTTAAAATATTAATTACAGGGCGGAAACAAACAAACATACAAACAACTGAGTCGGAGAAAGAGAGGGCCTTCTACTCCCATAAAGAATTATCGTCTCAGAAACCCACAGGGCTAGGTACCCCTTCCTCTAACCAGGTTGCTATGAGTTGGCATTGACTTGATGGCAGTGATTGGGTTTTTCTTTTTAGCCACTGCCTTTGAGTTGATTGGCTCAGTAGAGACCCTTTAGGACACAGTGTTTTTGTAAATCTTTATCGGAGCCAACTGCCACATCTTTCTCCCAGAGTGGCTGGTGGGTTCTAGCCACTGACTGCTTTCTCGGCTGAGAGCTTCCCTGGGCCAGCAGGGCTCCCAACGCTTACCCTGATACCATGCGGGCGCCCCAGAAAGTTCATAGAAAAATAGAATGGAAAGGCAATGGGATTTTCCCACAACCTTTTGAAAGTCCCTTCTTCCATAATCTTAATTTTGGTATCACACACTTAACCTGAACATTGTTTTATCAGAAAATATTTGCGGTTTCCTTCGTCCCCTACAATCAGTCTAGATATGTAGCAGTTACTTGTGATTAGGGTCTATATTTGGGAAAAATGGGAATATGAATTCTGAGAAAAACACTCCTGATAGCTTTATTGGTAATGATGACAGGTTACTTTGTAATCTCTTGATCCCCAACTAATGAATGGCAATGAAATAGCCATTAAAAGGGATAAAACAGGTTAAATGAATGGAAGTTGTGAAAATAGATTGGGCTAATGAGGAGAGTTCTTCTCTTGTGAACCAAAGACAAATAGCTCCACAACGCTTACATTTCTTAAGAAACTCTTCCCCTCCTCAGTGTGTTCGTAAAGTTTTCTTTTTTTTTTTTTTTTACGTGAAGATGCAAATGATGAGGAAATACATGACCCAAAGGTTAGTAAAAAAGAGAAAAAAACCAGCAGTGCGAGGAAGACAAGCAATTGTTTAACTGGGCCATAGTCATGAACTAGAAGGGCAGCCACGACTGAGGATGTGCCGAGACAGCGAGGGCATGCAGACTAGCCAGGTGACGTCGCGGCTCACTCAGCTACCCCGTTTGGGTTGAATATTTGATAATAAGAAGTATTGAATTCACTCGTTTGTTTGCTTGTTTGTTTTGCAGGGGGGAAAAAAATCTATTCTATGCCCTTGAAAGTTTTCCTCCATTTAGCATTGAATTTTGTTGTAGTTCTTCCTTCTTTTCTTAAAAAAAACTGATTGTTGTTGAAAATATGCACAGCGAGGCGTCAAACCCAACCGTTTCTCCAGGCACGGCTCAGTGACACGGATGGCAGCCACTCTCGCCTTCCTTTTCTCAGTTGCTCTCCCCTGTGAGCAGCAGCTCACCTATCAGGTCGACTGAGATGCCCTCCTCAGTTTGATCCCATGGAGAGCTCCCACAAGAGCCTACTGCTCAAGGTGAATCTTGAGCTTTAGTGTGTCAGGGATTTTCCTTTCCAATTCAGTCATCACCATGGTGGAGGAAAGCACACTATGAAGAAAAGAAAGAAGAAAAAGTGAACTTAGATGTGTAGTACTTGTCAAAGTGAAGAGAGCCTTACAGCCTGTGGCCGTCAGAGCACTGAAGAGACTCAGCACTGTGGCGCTATGCTGATGGTACAGACAGGTGTCTTTCACCAGGTGTGGTGTCTCTTGAACCCCGAATTGCCCATGTGATTCAGCACTTGCGATGGATTTGCTTACAATAAATATCTAATGACAAACCTTAGATATATAAATATATACTTTAGTTACACCTTAATAATTATTTTTTGGCCTCCAAGGTAGAAGACACTCTTCTCACCTTTAAAAATATATAGATGCCACATCATCTCACCTGTTCCATGAGAAGATAGTTTCAGATCGAATGCTAGACTCGTACCTGTATGCCATTATTGGACAGTTGAAAATGCTCAGAGGAGCTTTTACTGTGTGAAAAATGCTTTCCTTTGATTAACCGGCAGTCATTTGGTTTTTCTGTTCAGTTATGCAGCATTGGAGGAGAGAGGGATTTAATCATTTCAGCAGAGGGTGTGCCAGAGCTCCCCTGGGAAATTGGAGGTCTACCCATAGGTCATGTGATACCTATCTTGGACTCCTGTTATGTGGTGCATAGAGTACTAAAGTACAAAGTAGACAACAGGAATGCAATTCTCAATAAGCAAAAGGGTTAGGAACTATATCGATACTCCCTTTTGGATTGTCCCACGGCAAAATATGTATTGTATATCTCGTGTATAAGTTGAGGTTTTCTGGCTAGACCAGAGGATGTACACTGGTACAGATAGGAACTGGAAATACAGGGAATCCAAGGCGGATGATCCCTACAGGACCAGTGGTGTGAGTGGCGATACTGGGAGTGTAGAGGGAGAATGGGTTGGAAAGAGGGAACCGATTACAAGGATCTATATGTGACCTCCTCCCTGGGGGACGGACAACAGAAAAGTGGGTGAAGGGAGACGTCGGACAGGCAAGATATGACAAAATAATAATTTATAAATTATCAAGGGCTCATGAGGGAGGGGGAACGGGGAGGGAGCGGGAAATGAGGACCTGATGCCAGGGGCTTAAGTGGAGAGCAAATGTTTTGAGAATGATGAGGGCAGTGAATGTACAAATGTGCTTTACACAATTGATGTATGTATGGATTGTGATAAAAGTTGTATGAGCCCCTAATAAAACGGTTTTTAAAAAAAGCTGAGGTTTTTAGCACATGTTTTATGCAGTTTTTGTGGTAAAATTAGGTGCCTCGGCTGATACTCGGGTCAGCTTATACTCGAGCATATACGGTAAATTGCAATAACACCAGGAAAGTGGATTCTAGGCAATTTTGAAACATGATAGCTAACTGTGACGAATTCTTTCTTCTTCAGATCAGCTTTTGGATCTTTTGACAAGAAAACTGTGATAAGATACAGGGCTTGGAATTTTCCAGAGAATACATAATTGTCTCTTATACTTAAACGTGACAGCAAAGAATGTTGCCTTTAGCCCAAAGTAGCTTTCCAAACAGTCCTTAAAGGTGTCCACCCAGCAAGCCTTTGATGACATGCTTTTGATTTCCTACCTGATCTTAGAGAAATGATGTTTACTCCATTGCATCCACAGCACCAATCACAGTCCGGGGAAGAAGAACCTTCATTTATTAAACATTGTATTCGTTTCCTAGAGCTGCCGGAACAAAGCACTGCTAGCACAACACTGCATAACAAATGGGGGTCTTTACTTGCAGAAGTATCTTGTCTCTTGTTTTGATGGTGGAGAGTCTGAATTGAGAACTGGCAGGGCAACATTCCATTCAGTGGCCCTAGGTCCAGGGGAAGATCTTTTCTTGACCGTCTTCTGGAAGCCCCATGTGTTCCTCGATTGATACCTGTAGCCTAATCCATAGTCGCCAGGCACTCTTCCCTCCATGCGCTCCTGTGTCTTCTCTTTTACAAAGATCCCACTTGGGATCTAATGGATTAAGACTAATCTAATGGATCAGGACCCATCCACTGCAGAATGACCTTACCTTAACTTTGATGACATCTGCAAAGACCTTATTGCCAAACAAAGTCACAGTCAAAGGTGGAGCCCCGGTGGAACTGTGGTTAAAACATGTAGCTAGTAACCCCCAAAGGATCAGCAGTTCAAACCCAGCCAACTGCTGTGTGGGAGGAAGATGTGGAATTCTGCTTCTGAAAAGATTCACAGCCTTAGAAACCGTGTGGGGAAGCGCTACCCTGCCCTACACTATCAGCCTCGTGGACCAGTTTGTTTGTTTGTGTTTTGAGGTGGGCAGGAGGGGGAGGCTAGGACCTCACTCTGTCTTTTGGAGTGACACAATTCAATCCGAGATAGGGCCTTAGTTAGGTGGTTCTGGCCCTTGCCCTCCAGGGAATAATGCAAACGAGATGAGTACTTACTTTCTTTTAGCTCTGATTTCTTCCTTTGTGAAAAAGAGAGAGCTTTAGGTGGGATTTTTTTAAGGGCCCCTTTGCCTTTACACTCCTGATTCTAAAGTCTCTTGATTGTGAATGGTGTTAATGCCGCATGCCGGTGTTGGGTTTTGTCTTCACCAATTTCCTGCATTAAATCTCAACTGTGTTTTCTCCCAGCACGCAGGGTGGCGGTAAGAACTTGTCACATGATGGGAAATCAGAAAATAGCTGCCTTGGGAGGCTGATTAAAGGTAGGTCACTCTGGGGCAGAGATGTCTCAATGAGCAACACACGCACCGTCACTTCAAACTGTAGCCAGGAGGTGTGTTTTAGGCAGTGTTGGCAAGATGGCCTCCCAGTACTCCAGGAGATTTACAAAGAAAGCTTACAAAATTTGCTCTTATAAAACTACAGCTTTTAAAATGGACCCTTTTCCGGGAAAAGATCATGGCACGGATCTTCTAGAACATTAGAAGAGTCATCCGAATGGGGACTTGGGGTGAAGAAACGGAGTCCACCCCTTCTCCTCCTTTTGGGGCAAATGCAAAATGCTAAGATACTCCTGGCAGAACCCACTGCCCTTGGAAGGCTCCACACATTTGCCATTTTAAAGTGAAGGTGCCCAGATTTGGCTCCCTGAGGACAATTTCCTTTTCATTGCAGCATTTTGCTGGTGAGCAGGATGGGTGGTATCAGTTCATTGAACGTGCACCTGCATCCATGGCAAGACTAATCACTCTCCTAGGATGCCTTGTCTTTGTGTTTTCAGAATAAAGAGTATTCGTTCCCTCAATAAGATTGGTTTTCTGAGGTCTCATTAAAATAAATAAATCATTTGAGAAATGCTGGTTTCTGGGCTGCGTTTCTTCTCAGAGCTTCTAGTGTTTCTGCAGTAAACGACATGGAAGGGAAGTCCCCTATCCAACCTCCTCTGGCTTCTCTGTTGCCATGAGGCAAGAGTTAGACGTGCCTCCACGCTGCATCCTTCGGGAGCTAGTTGGACACCAACTCTTCCTTCTGTGGCACCCTACATCTAGGCTGAGTTCGCCAATGTGTTGCAAAGGCAACCCAGACCTTGATGATCACCTTCACAATTAGGTGGGTGGATTAGGAAAGTCATGGGTTTACTGCAAGTCCAGGTCAGCGAACAGTAAGGTTACAGTCATGGGTCTCTTCGGCCAGTAGCCAAGAGTCTCTGGTTCTCAGCCTCTCAGCCACAGGGTAGCCTAGTCTCTCTAGGGCCCGCAGGCTGCCAGCCACAAGGTCCCTTGGCCTTTGCCTCCATGAGCCTGGAAGGCAGCCCTGCCTGCTGCCCCACTGTTCCATCATCTGGAGGAGAAGGCCCCCGTAGTCTCAGTGCTGCTCCTCTGAGCCTCTGCCACTGTCTCTAATGCACGTGGTCTGTCTCAGGGGTCTTCCTGCACCAACTCAGACAGAGTTCCCGACCGTGTGCCCCCGGTCCTCATGGCTTCTTCCTCTGCCCCTCCTTCACAGATGGCTCATCCTCATAGCCAGGGGGTGCTAGTGACGACTGACCCATTCCCTCTATTAGTAATAAGTTATCCATTAGACAGAGTCTTGGAAATATGAAAATTGATATTAGAGGGTAACTAAAGAAATCCATTTTTAATTATATGATCAGTGGGATGTATCATGCGATCAGTATTGCCATGGTTTATAGTTTCAAACCTGTTCGAGGTTGGTGCACATTGAGGAATATACAAATAACCGGTGTGGTTGTAAACGCTGACAGTGAGGAGAATGAAAGAAAGTGATTGCTACTTTTTGGAGAAAATGATTTTTTCCTAGCATTCTCAAATGCTAGGAAAATGTTCCTAGCAGCTTCTCATTTTTCAATGCTGTTTACAGTGAACAATGCAGTATCCATCCATGGAAGATGAACAGTTATAATGAACTCAGGGGAGATTCTTTGAAGTGGGTCAGAGGGCTCTTCATAAGATAAATTGCTCACCTCCAGTCAGCTCCTGTGAAGTGGTGTTTTCTGAGTGTGAGAAGTGTGTGCCTCTTAAAAAGTTAATTTAGGCAAATGAGAAGAGTGTGAGCAACCTTGATTCACTATCTCACCCCAGAGATAGGTCCGACATTCCACCAAAAGTTTTATTTAGATGAAGTTGTGGACTCTTTGAGATAATAGGCTTTCAACTGGGATATCTTGAGTCTGATAGCAGAGCAGCTGACCCATCCTTAAGTCCCTTTCCAACTATTTTAGGAATGAGTTGAACTGATGAAGTTTAAGTCGTCTCTCTGTTGGATTTCTTGGCCACTTTCAAGATCAGTTCTTAAAATGGAATTTTGCCTGTTGGATATCTTTCCCTCTTCTGAGGGTAGTCCTGGCAGGCACCTGCCATCCCGGTTCCTTTCAGTCACACAGGGCGGCGATAAGGAGAGTGAAGTGTGAGCTAAATAGGGCTGAGGCTTCGGCAAGGTCATTTATACCCAGAGCACCAGAGAATCGGCAGTCTCCAAGGCCCTGGAGGGCACAGCCAGGCACCACAAGCGTGACTTTCAATATTTGCCCGTTTTTTACAGGGGAGCAATGCGGGTCCCCGTGTTTGAGGATTTGAAAAATGAAACGGAAGAAGACAAAGCAGGAGAAGAAGACAATGGAGGTGATAAGGTGAGTGAAGCGGTAGCTCTGAAGAATGGAATTTGTTCCACAATGTTGATGATGAGAAAACTGTGTTCCTTTTCCTTTTTTTTCCCCCTTGGAACAGATGTTCTGTAAGCCTGTGATTGAAGATCTAAGCATGGAATTGGCTAGAAAATGCACCGAACTCATCAGTGACGTAAGTGGGTTAAGTCCTTTTCGTCTTGTTTTGCACTGTGTGTACGTGTGGCAACATGAGATCATGGAGCTGGGAAGGAAGTCTTGACGTCATCTCTGGCAGCTCAGTTAGTGTCTCCATCATAGAACCGAGTCCAGGAATCGTCAATCCCCCAAGGTCACCCCCACAGCACATTTCTGCTGGAACAATCTCCTCATTCCCACTCCCGAATCCTGGCCGTTACGGATTTCACTGTCACTCTGCCTTGCTAGTGGTCATACAGCATTGAATTCCAAAGTATATTTCATGTGAGAACCCCCAAGAATCTTTCAAATGTGTAGAGTGGTATCATTTGTTTGGGGAGGATCCTATCCAAATGGTTGGTTTTTAGTTTTGCTGGGAGGACCTTTTGAAGATTCTGATGAATGCAGTAGTGCCCTTCACCAGGAAAATGCACATACTTATAAGCATATAACAGTCACTGACGACTAAACAAGTCATAGATTCCTGAACTGCCTATGTAGAGCTGTATTCTCACAATGGTGATGGCAGTGGTCAAAAGGAGCATCTTGGTGGTGATCCCCCACCACCCCCTCGATAATTGGTGTTGGTTTGAATATATTTCAAAGGAATCAGAGATTTACAGAATGTGTGTGTGTGTGTGTGTGTGTGTGTGTGTGTGTGTCAGAGTGAGTATGACTACTGGAGTTCTAGAAGCACAAGGAAAAGTGGTGGTCACTGGAGCTGTGACTTTAGATGGTCCTCTGGCACAGAGGACAGAAGGTTCCTGGAATGCGAGTAGGTGCCTGCAGCTTCCTGATATTGGTCATTCTGTTGTTGTTAATAAGCAGAGTGATCGGGATAGTTTATAAAGGTTTGATTTCAAAGGAAGTGTGGCAGCATGCCTGTCAGTCCCCTGGAGCCCCTCTGTCTGAGTTGCACTGCACAGGAAGTGACCTTGAGCAGGTTAGGTCTCCTCTCGGGGGTCAGTTCCTCCAGTGTGACGCAGTGCTCACTGCCATTGACTTAATCCCAACTCAAACAGACCCTGTAGGACAAAACAAGAACGGTTCCTCTAGGTTTCTGAGGCTGTAAATCTTTACAGGAGCAAATAGCCTCATCTTCCTCCTGTGGAGCTGCCGATGGGTTTGAACTGCTGACCTTGAGGTTAACAATCCAAGGCTTACCCTACAGCGCCACCAGAGCTCTGGTGTCGTTTATAGTGAGATGAAGTCACGATGGCACATCTGAAATGTATTGTGAACTGTGTGGCACCTGTTTTCTCAATAGATACTCGTTTCTTTCTTGAACTTTTATTTATTTCCTCATTTAAGTTGAAAAGACACAGCAGAACATCACACCATAACATATCAGCAGTTTCTAAATGTACACCGTTCAGTGACGTTGGAGATACTGTTTAACTTGTGCAACCACGCGCCCCTTCTTTTTCTGAGTTTCTCCCTCGGTAATACAGACTCACTCCTGTTGTCAGTTTCATCTCCGATAGGCTATTCTTAAACGAGTGCAAGGGTTAAAGGGCGGTTGGGTTTTAAGATGACTTCAGCCAATGTTGTTGTTGCTGCTTACAATGTAAAGATGATCTCAGGGTCATAGTCTCAGGGATTTACCCGGCCCCCATGGCTTCAGAGAGGCTGGCGTTCATAAGAATTTGGAATTCTGTCTTAGGTTCTCAGATCCGTTCAGGATTCTTCCATGGAATCTTGGGTCAAAATGTTCAGGGATGGTAGCCAGTCATGTCCCGTTTTATGCTGGCAAACCGAAAGTGGCCGTTGTTCTTGGGGGCGATTAGTCACGTATTCCACTCCCTTCTCTTTTTCCTAAATGTCCTGCTTTGTGGCTCCAGGTGACTAGAGATCAATTGCCGTGTGTTAGATGGCCCCTTTCAAACTTTAAAGACCCCGAGGAACACACAATGGACTAAGGTAGAAGAGAAACTGGAAGCATGTGATTAAGCCAATTAACGGGGCTGTCTCAGGAAACCATGACTCTAACCATCCAAGCCAAGGAACCAAACAAACCCCGTGAGGTGTCTGGTTATCCATAAGCCGCCTCTGCAGTCACTCCTGTTCTTTTGCCATTGTTGTCAATAGATCCATCACATGTTTGCCAAGTCAGCTTAATGGCAGCAATTACAGAATTGTGTACTGCTTCCCTTAATAATGTGTGATCTTCTTCCCCATCACCATTAATTCTCCCTTTTCTTGACTGCCCTCCCACCTCAGTGACCCTGATAAATGTTGGCCTTTGGCTCTTTGCCTTTTTGTTGTTGTTGCTCTTTTTGTATAAGTGAGGCCATTCAACATTTGTCTTTCTGTGATTGACACTTCATTTAGCATAATGTCTTCAAGCTCCACTGATACCATAGCACGGATCACAATTTCCTTTCTCCTACTGGCTGCAAATATTAGTTCTTATTAACGACTACATCGGTAAATTACTTTTGCATTCATCCAATCAAGTTTTATATATCACCGCGTGTCACCTTTTGGTGGGTCAGAAACAATCAAAGGATGGTGGGACTCATATTCTTAATAGGAGATGTCATTAAAGTATTTCCTATGCCGTTACTCAGTAGTCACCTGCAAATGTATGTGTAAGTTCTTGGTATAAAAAAAATGTCCATTTTTGAGGTACTGTGGGATAGTGTGGAAATGCCCTTGGGGGTTTTTGAGACTGTAACCCTTAATGGTATAGAGAGCCTCATCTTTCTCCTGAGGAGCAACTGGTGGTTTCGAACTGCTGACCTGGTGGTTTCGAACTGCTGACCTGGTGGTTAGCAGCTTCATTCATAACCCCTACACCACCAGTGTGCCTTAAGTTCTTTGTATATAATAATAATGACTGAAAACAACAATATTAGCAGCAGTCAAGAGTTACTGAGCATTGTGTAGGGTAAGTTCACTGCCCTGTGTAGGATAAATCCTGTTATTTTTTTCCTATTTTAGAAATGAAGCAATGGAGGAGAGCAGAGAGGTGAGCACTGGGTGGCTCAGGTCACAGATTTAAACAGTGGGGTGGGGCTTGACCTCCAGAAGTCCGGCCAAAGAGAGTGCCCGTACCCTTACACATTCTAACTGTTTCGTCTCTTTCTGTAGATTTTCATGCACCACTTAACTTAGTTTAACTATTGTGTTGTATGCTAATAATTGTAATACTCATGTTACTATTCAAAGCTCTAAGTACACTCTCTAGAGGGTAGGGCTCTAACTCCATAGGCTTTCTTTGAAGTATCAATGTGGTGGAGGTCATTATGTCATCTAAACCCACAGGGGCAGCGCCCCCAGCCCTCTAGGGTCGCTGTGAGTTGGAATTGACTTCACAGCAGTGAGTTTGGCTGGTTTTTGGTTGTTGTTTTTTTTTGCAAACCATTGGAACTAAAGTGAGACTGTGGCTACCAGGTGATTTTGTTGGAGTTATTTTAGGTAAGAACATTTATCAATGACTCTAAAATCAACCCAGTGGTAAGAAATGATAGCCTTTATCATTTTCCAAACGCAAATGCTATGTCATTTCACCCCCACGTGGGTGAAATCAAACACAGGGCAGTAATTTCTATTTATTGTAGGTTTATGTTACATGGCAGTATGTTTGTATTACTTACATTTTAGCTTATGATGTAAATTTATGGCTGTGCATACATTTACTTTTTGTTTCCAAGTAGAATTCTAAATTTGCCAATAGTGGTTTTAGAAGTTTTTTTTAGTTTATTGGATTAGACGTCTATATCAAACTATATATTTTTTATAGTCTGAAAATTTCCTTTTTGTTTCTAAATAAACTGCATAGTGGAGTTTGAAATTAGCATGTAAGCACAATCATTTTTTTAAAAACTAATTTTAATTGATCCTTCCTGGAAAGACTTTGCATATTAGATTAAGTAACACGTTAAGTAGTTTAGAAATTTGACTAAATAGCCTTATTGAGTAATAACTTCTTAATGGTTTCTCAGTTTTAACAACAGTTTTATACGGAGCACGTGAACTTCCGTGTCAAGTTCTAATTTCTGTTATGTTGTGTGCATGGTTAGATGGTTACATAAAATGCAGATTTGAAGTTCCGTCAGTCGCAGGGCTAAGACAGGTAAAAGTGGGTGAGTTGCCAGTGCTAGGTTACATCTGAGTTGCAGTAGACGCTGTACTAGACCTCTGATGTTGACTCATATACCAGTGCTTCATGTTTAGCCTAGTACTCATTTCTTTACCTTGGTCACAATGTTTCTAAGACGGAAGGCTCCCTCCATGTGCTGGTGAAGTGCTCAGCTGCTCACCCAAAGTTTGGCGGTTCTAATCTACTCTGTGGCTCCTCGCAAAGATTATCGCCAAGACAACCTGGTGGGCAATTCTGCTGTCACCTGGCCTCACGGTGGACACAGACAACAGCTCCATTCTGGAAAGCGAGGGGCTAAACTTCAAGGATCTTAGTATGATTTTATAATCCATTATATACCAAAATGTTACCCAGAGATTTACCTGAGCCTTCCTTGTTTCTCTGAAGGCAATTTTGGGTCGTGTTTGCCGCCGTGGAAGGGTCCTGTATGTTGGACTTTAAGAAGCAGCTTCACCTTCTAGTCAAGCCACACATGGGTAGGGAGCGAGGTCTGTCTGATTCAGGTGCCTGGGCCACCGGCATGGCCTTCTTCTGCTTTGTCTGCCCGGCACCTCATGTGCAGCGTGGATGTCGTTGCACAGCGAGCCTTTACCACATCTCCTAGGAACTTAGCTCAGCGGCAGGTGAAACCCAGAGAGGTTGAGGAGCTTGCCCAAGGCCAGCTGGCTGGTCAGAGGTGGGGGCACGTTTCAAGCTGAGGCTGGGCTGAATCTCTAGCTTGGCTTGTAGCCGCTCCCCCCTGGGGCCTTCATTTTTCAAAATGAAAAGGGTGATTTATTGAGCTTCTCTTCATGGAGAAGCCTTTCGACACCCTCCTCCGTTGTTCTGATTTTCCCTCTTTGGACCTCCTGCAGCTTTCGTGTGCTTCTGTGGGGGCCATAGCCCACGCTGCA